TGTGTGTGTGTGTGTGTGTGTGTGTGTGTGTGTGTGTGTGTCTGGACTGGTATTCCCTACACTGTGGGACAGTTTTTTTTTGGCATACACACCTACTTGTGAGGACCTAATGTTACTTATGGGGACCTGACTGGTACTTATGGGGACCTGAGTCTAGTCCCCTTAAGGGGAAACGGCGTTGGTTGGTCGGGTTTAGGACTAAGGACTAAGGTGTGATTTGAGTTTAGGTTTGTTGAGGTTAGGGTTAGGGTTGGTGGTCAGGGTTAAGCTGTAGAAAATGATGGAAGTCAATGCCAGGTCTCCATAAAGATAGCTGTACCAGATTGTGGGTGTGTGTGAGTGTGGTAGGGGTGTCATTCCATTCATACATACAACATCTGCTGCTTGTCTGTGGTTTAACCAAATTTCACTCAGGAATTTAAAAGAACTCATACCAACTCACCCAGCCACCCCACCTATCCATCCATCCATCCCTCCATCCATCCATCCATCCATCCATCCATCCATCCATCCATCCATCCATCCATCCATCCATCCATCCATCAAGCTTAGCTTTGAAAGAGGAAAATACAAACATCACTTTCCTCAACATTCAGATTTTAGAGAAGTTATTTGTGACAAGATTTAATCAATTTATCAATAAACAAGATATTTTAAGTAACAGTCAGTATGGGTTTAGAACAAATAACTCCACATCAATGGCACTCATGGATTTTGCAGAGCAAATAACAACTGCTGTCGATCAAAAACAGTACTGTGCTAGTATTTATGTTGATTTGAAGAAAGCTTTTGACCCCACTGACCACACCATTCTACTTGAAAAATTGAACAAATACGGTATTAGAGGACCAGCATTACAGTGGGTGTCTACTTATTTAAAGGACAGAAAACAGTTTTCACAAATAAATGATAAAAGATCTGACTTGGGTAATATCACATGTGGAGTGCCTCAAGGTTCTGTACTTGGGCCAAAGTTATTTATTTTATATGTGAATGATTAAGTAAATGCATCAGGGTTGTTCAAATGTGTTTTATTTGCAGATGACACTACATTTTTTTGTTTTGCTAAAAATATAGAACAGATGTTGGAAATGATGCAAACAGAATTTGCTAAAATGCAAACCTGGTTTAAACTTAATGAATAAATTATCATTAAATTTAGATAAAACTAGTTATATGATATTCATTAACAGAAAGAAAACTGTTGATGTTCCATTTAGTGTTGATGGTGTTGAAATCTGTAGAGTCAGTGAAGTGAAGTTTCTGGGTGTCATCATTGACCAGGGTCTGACATGGAGACCTCACATAAATCATTTAAGAACAAAAATAGCAAACGCCGTCGCGGTTTTGTACAAATTAAAGGACTTATTTAATGATAAAGCACTGTTTGTGTTGTATAATGCAATAATGGTTCCACACTTAATATATTGTGTTGATGTTTGGGGAAAAGCGTGTAAAACAAATCCTGTTTTTATTTTACAGAAGAGCTATAAAAATTATTACCAGAAAACCTTACAGTCACCCATCAAATTCATTGTTCCATCAGTTTGTAGGGGTTCCCCAAAGGGGAAATAAACATTTCCACTTGTCTTTGACTCTGGTTTAAAAAATCCTTTCTCAAAAGAGACATTTTATTTTCTTTAATAAACAAAATAATAATGTTCTTTATGTTCTTGATTATATTATCTTTTTAACTACTAGTTATTCTCATTTTATTAATCAAATTTGTTTGATGAATTAATCTTTTGCATTATTCTTCAGAAAAAGAAAAAAAAACACACCATGAGAAATTGGTGGAAATATCCCGTTACCTGTTTTACACAAATGCTGGTTTAATCTTACAGTAAAAAATATTGATTTTTGGCAATCTTTTTACAGGCTGATTAGGGATGTTTTAACCAAGCTGTATTGTTACACATCCTTTCACATGTATGATGTTCAAATTTTGTGCAGCTAGCACTTTCCTTTCTCAAGTATGACTAAAATTAATCTTAAAAACCATGTTGCTTCCTGCCTGACTTGATCAAGCCACACCCCGCTGCCTCCAGCCTCCTCAAACCCCACCGTCAATCCGACCAATCACGTCTCGTGCCATCTCCGCCCACATCGTAACCTCCGCCAATCATAAGTAGGGACGTCTCCCCCCACAGGACAAAACCTACTGCAGAGACCCCTTACTCCATTCACTCACATACTGATTCATACAACCAGGGTTGACCTAACCTAACCTACTATACCATTGTTTTCCCCTCATCTGTTCATCCATCCATAGGTTCCAAAGGAGATTGGAAGGTTTGTGGTTTGATCCTGGCTTCTCCCACAGCATGTTGAAGTTGGACAAAAAAACTTTAACCAAGGTTAGATCTGTGGTTGAAAAGCTGAGCAACTTCAATCATTTCCTGTTTTGAAAGATTGTGTTTTTGTGGAATTCTAAGGGTTTCTTTGGGGATGATGACTTTACTAGGAGCTTTTTGGGTTTCTATGTGTCTGGAGATACTTAAACTGCACAAGTCAGACATCCAAATTCATTGTAAGAACTGAATGTGTTGTGTGATCCTCTGATGAAGAAGTGGGACTACCAGTTTAAGTAAAAAAAGTTTATTTGGAAACACAGTTTAAATTACCCTGAATTGGACCCCTCCCATCTCTGCATTACCAGCAAGACCTGCAGAACTCTAGAGCTAAAAGACTGAAGACATCACAGATTTCTGACTGTGTGCAGCTTTCTGCTTTCTTTGCCAGGACCACAAAGGACCATGCAAACTCTCACAAACATAAAACTTTCTTCACAAACAGTTTCAATGATTCATCAAGTCTGATTATTATTCAACTATAACAGAATTCATTAACGACATTTGACACATCCTTGTTCTAACCTGGCACATATCTGGTACTTACCAGATACATATCCTGCATGAACCTGGTGTGTACCTGGAATTTACAGAGTACATACCTGGTACCAGGCACATGCTGGGAATATAACGGTAAGTACTCTCTGCTGTATTATTTATTGCCAACCATGAAACAAATCCAAGAGCATTTAAAACTAAATTAAATATTTTTCTTCAAAATGTGAATAATAACAATTTTTTTGAGTTCCTGCATCTCAGTATGCTTAAAGACACTGGTCCAGTCCAAAATAATGCCTAGAAAATGGAGCTGGTTAAAAATTAAACTGTGAACCTCATTACCCTCTGATTTTATAAAAAAAATAAAATAAAATAAAAAAACATTTTGCTTATACATTTATACAAAATTATTTTTTTCTGTAGCCCACTGTGGATTTAGAACTTTATTAGGGCCCTGGAAGACAAATCAATTTATTTAGAACTTTAATGTCATTAAAATTTTATATTCAGACATTGTTATAACAGTTATATCTGTAGAGGAAGGGAAATGTTGATGAGCCTAAAACTGAATCCAAAACTGCACAGTCTCATTCATAAAGACCCACTTTCACTCCTGAAAACACTACAACAATGTTTATTAACACTCAATCGATTGGCTTTGCTCAGTTGGTTGGTACCATTTAGTGGGTTGGAACCACTAAGTGGATTTGTTTCTCAGAGACAGAGTATCCAAATCTGTTTTCTAAACTGACTTAGAACAGATCCTTCAGGTGTGTCTCTCTCGGATCCAACAGAGCTTCTGAAGATCTTGAGTTTTTGTTGGAACCACTTAGGAATCAGGCAGTTTCACTCTCTTTGGCTCAAGTATCCTTGTGAGTCAGAACCTGAAGCAGAAAATGAACTGAGGTAAACAGGAGTCTGCAGCAGGGGGAGTGGCACCTGGATGCAATGGATTACAGTTTCAAACTGGCCGGCTCTGATTCCATCAGAAATCTTTGGTTTGCTCTGGAAGCAGGTACCAGTTTGAGTGTCAGCAGGAGCCCAGGGATTCCATCTTCTTTTATGAATTAAAATACATGGTTTCTGTTTACACCGAACTGCCACGTGTGTCTTGCCAGTCCAGCCAAGCTCCTTTAAGTAAAACTGCTCACTCACTGCCCTCCTTGATGGTGACGTGGGAACTAGGCCCCTACCTGTTTGGTTTGGTTCCTCACTCGCTGTCCTCCTTGGCCTACTGGATGGTGATGGTAGAGTGGGGCCCTGGGCCCCTCATGGTTTAGTTCTTCACTGGCTGTCCTTCTTTTCTTGCTGGATGATAAAGTTGGGGACTGGGACCCTGTCTGCCTGGTTTAATTTCTCACTCACTGTCCTCTTTGTCCTCCTGGATAGTGGTGGTGGAATGGTTGTACAGTCCCTGTGCCATTAACTGCAATGCCAGACCATTCTTAAAGCCACTTGCCTTTTTTATCTTGGCCCGCTTGTTCTGAAACCATATTTTGATCTGGGACTCATTGAGGTTGAGCTCTTGGGCCAGTACCTGCCGCCGTTGCTCTGTGATGTACCGGTTCAACTGGAACTCTGTCTTAAGTCTTTGCAATTGTTCAGTAGTGAAGGCCGTGCGTGGTCGCTTGTCCTCTTTGCCACTTTTGGACTTTTTCAGTTTCCGTGTCCGTGGGCCTGCAGTGGGACATAAGGAAAGGAAAGTGGAAATGTGAATACACAGAGCATGCTAGGTAATAACTGATCAAAAACATATTGCTGCCATAAGGATGATGCCTGACATGGCAGTAATCCTTAAACCTTGAAAAGAGCAATTGAAATACAGTGCTGTGAGCAGTACTTCTGCTCAGCTTCAAAATGATTCTGACAAACCATTGGGCATCTCAGTTTTGGGAAGCAACACTTCACCAACACTTTTCACCATGAGATCGAGATGCTGGTGATCTCAGCTAAGAGTAGTCAGGTGGTGTAAGGAGCATTTTGTGAGACTGTATGAGCCATGTATTTCTTATTTTCTCTCTCTGATGATTTGCCTTTTTTATGCAATTGTGTGGGCGTGGTGGCATCTGGTTTGTAGGCATCACTTCAAGGGTTGTGGCATTATGTTTGAGTGTGTGCAGGTGCATGAGGAGAACCTGAATCTTGTGATGAGATGAGCTTGGGTGAGCAACTTTCTGTTGACCATTCAGATCAACCCTGTGGAAATACCATTGCATGGTGACATGACTTACATCTGTCAAAGTAAGCGTATGATTATTCTTAAGCTTGTGAAATGGTAAAATAGTAAATGGCTTGAACTTATATAGTGCCTTATCAATTTCACTTGGAGCCCAAGGCGCTTTACACTTCAGGCATTCACCCATTCACACACACACACACACACACACACACACACAC